TGGTTTACCTGCCGCCTCCCGCTGGGCAGTGGCGCGGAGGCGGGACCTGTGTGTCGGCGTGTCCGTCAGTGCCTGGCTCGGCCCTCCCCGTCGGAGGCTGGGCAGGGGGACGTGGCAGAGGGGTTAGTTATTTTTTTAGAAAATTGATCTCGGAGAGGAAGGGAATGGAACCATCAGTGCGGAGGGAGTCCCGCATCGCCGCCTCCTGCGCCCCATGGGATGGAGCCCACCCGGCCTGAGCCCTGGGCCTGATGAGCCTGACCTCCTGGTCCCAGGCCCACGCTCAGCCCCTGACCCCGCCGGTGGGGCGGGGGGTGAGGTGTGAGCAGGTGCACTGCGGCCACCGGTGTGACGGCAGGACCGAGGGGACGAACCCCGAGTCCTGGGGAAGTGGGGTTGGATGGGAGGCCAGACCCTGGGGCGGCCCACCTGGGTCACTCGGACCTGACGTGAATCCCGCTGCCCGGCCGGGCGCTGGGGCCAGGGTGGCAGCGGGGTTGGCCCTCCTCGGGGAGGGTCCCCCCCACCGTGGATGGGGCCAGGGAGCCGGGAGGTCTCCCAGGACTAGCCGTAGTGGCCGGGTTTAGGGGAGGAGAATGAAGGATGGCCAGGCAAGTGTGAATTTCAGACAAACAAGGGCTCCTGTTTTCAGTGTAAGAAGTGCTTTTCCTCCCCTCCGGCCGTGATCCTGTGCTGTGGTCCCGGGCCTCTGACCGGGCTCCCCGACCCCTGCCCCGCCTCGAGGCGGCTCTCCCTGCTCCCACTCTGGCTCCGGCCGGCGGAGGCTGCAGGACTCCCACTGCTCCGCCAGGTGGGCCGAGGGCCCCATGCTTTGTACCAGTGCCTCCCCTGGCACCACCCCCGCCCTAGTCAAGGCCCCTTTCCTACCTGACTCCTCCCCGGGGCTCCCCCACCCCGTATCTGGGAGGTGCAGGTGGGGGGTCCGAATCCTGGTGCAGCCCCTCCCTGTGGCCGTGGGCTCCCTGCCTAACGTCCCCCAGGGGTGGGACACCTCTGCTGTGAGGCTGAGCTGGGCTGTGGGCAGCCCTTAGGTCAGCCCTGGGGGAACCCTCCACAGCAGGGTGAGGCACCCCCACACCATGTCTGTTTCTCTGGGGGGGAAGGGGGGTTCCTTCTGGCAGCAGGACTAGGTGTCCCCTCACACCTTCAGCTCTGGCACCTGGCACACGGGGTCCTCAGGACCCCAGCCAGGCGCCTCCGGGCCTCTCCCTCCCTGAACACCCCCCTGCGCTGGCTCCAC